TTTTAAATCATGGCGGGTGAGGGCGTTTTCATACGCGTTTGGCCAATCAATGTCTACTTGCGTCACGATTAGTACCAGTTGTGCTGGTTAGACCCTGCTCCGGAGTAGGAGCTAATTTGGTCCTCGAAAAAGGCAGTCCGGTACTAAAATTTCACCCAGTTCCGGCGGTGCGAAAACGCCAAAAAGTGGGTAGTTCCACAATTAGTTCTGGTACTATGAAAAGGTTCCCGCGGTGAGAAAGGCCCTAATAACGCACAGGTGTGCATAATACTCTTAGGGAATATGATTCGAGGACGCTTTCCTTTGTATTATGTTTCTTTCTCTTAAAAAGTGGAATAAGCTTTTGTGACTGTTTCAAACACGCATTTACATAATTCCCAGTGTAGCGCTTCTGAGATTTCATTTCAGATGACTGACACAATATTAGTTTTGGCCAGTGTGATGCAAGTGGGTCATAATGACTGTAATTGTCATTTAATCTGCACCCTAGAGGTTATGATTTAAACAGAATAAGCCACATATGTCCTCACTCATATATCTTGTGGCCAATGAGTGGGGTTCACTTGTGTTTTTGCCTACACACATTCTCAACTCAATTTGTTATGGTTTGTTTGAGTGGTAAGGAACAATTTTCTGTTAGAGGGTGACTGATACTATTTTTTCTGACCATTAATAATGCTGAAGTGTGATAACCAATAGACTTATTTGTGCATTGTTTTTTAAATAAAAACAATATTTAATAATAATAATAATAATAATTACTACTACTATTATTTTGTAACTAATAATAATAATCGCCATGTTTTTAAAAGAAGTCTCTTGTGTTCACCAAGGCTGCATTTTAATTGATCAGTAAAAACTGTAATATTTTAAAATATTTTTACAATTCAAAATAGTTGTTTTCTATTTCAAAATGCAATTTAACTATATATCAACCTTAAAATAAGCACTTATAATTAAAATGTTCTTTTTGACTGTGATTGTGCTGCATCATGTATTTTACCTAACTGTATAGAGTTTTCAGTATAATACCAAAATTTAGCCTGAATAAACATGGAAGGTTTATTACCAAGCAGCAGTCGTTTTCTACTGATTAATGATTGGATAGCCATTCTATTCCACTCACAATTAGTTTTTTACTTATTCATCTTATTTACCATCTATTGAAACTTTTTATAGTAGAACTTATCTTCCTCTAATAATATCCAATTATTTTATTTCCTCTGCAAAGCAGAAGAACAAACGTTATAAATAAAACCATAAGCGAGAGAGATTTCAAAGTTTATGCAAGCAGAATTTTTCCAAAATTGAGCAAGAAGTCAATATTTCTGCAGGGTAATCTTTAAAAATATGTAGTCCTGCATTTAGAAGGAAACTGTCCAGCCCGGTTGCACTGGATCGTTTAATCTGACCTGCTGAAAGCAACACCAGCCTGACAGGGTGGAGAAGGGTTCAGATTAAGCGGCAAACGTTCCGGCCTCTCTTGTGAAACCAACACGGAAGTGACTAAAACTGCAATTCATCGACTGGCCGCTAGAGGCTGGCTCCAAAAGGGAGTCAGTCCCATAGACTCCCCATGTAGAAAGGCCCTTATAACGCAGAGCTGAGCACAATCCTCTTTGGGAAAATGATTCGAGGACCTTAACACTGCTGCTCACTGCTGAGGTGCTGGGGGAAGGATGTGAGAGCTTTCCTTTGTATTATGTTTCTTTCTCTTAAAAAGTGGAATAAGCTTTTGTGACTGTTTCAAACACGCATTTACATAATTCCCAGTGTAGCGCTTCTGAGATTTCATTTCAGATGACTGACACAATATTAGTTTTGGCCAGTGTGATGCAAGTGGGTCATAATGACTGTAATTGTCATTTAATCTGCACCCTAGAGGTTATGATTTAAACAGAATAAGCCACATATGTCCTCACTCATATATCTTGTGGCCAATGAGTGGGGTTCACTTGTGTTTTTGCCTACACACATTCTCAACTCAATTTGTTATGGTTTGTTTGAGTGGTAAGGAACAATTTTCTGTTAGAGGGTGACTGATACTATTTTTTCTGACCATTAATAATGCTGAAGTGTGATAACCAATAGACTTATTTGTGCATTGTTTTTTAAATAAAAACAATATTTAATAATAATAATAATAATAATTACTACTACTATTATTTTGTAACTAATAATAATAATCGCCATGTTTTTAAAAGAAGTCTCTTGTGTTCACCAAGGCTGCATTTTAATTGATCAGTAAAAACTGTAATATTTTAAAATATTTTTACAATTCAAAATAGTTGTTTTCTATTTCAAAATGCAATTTAACTATATATCAACCTTAAAATAAGCACTTATAATTAAAATGTTCTTTTTGACTGTGATTGTGCTGCATCATGTATTTTACCTAACTGTATAAGATGGTGACGGCCCGCTCCGCCCACTTTGAGCTTCAAAAACGGTCTTCAGAAACCTACGGGTGACGTCACGGACACTACGTCCATGTTTTTATACAGTCTATGGTTCAGATGCTTCTCTGACTGCCTGTGTTTACGGAAGAGCCGGATCTTTGTGAGGGGAATAGGAACTGGTTGAGCTCTTTGGCCTCAGATCATCCTGGAGGATTCAGTGTGGAGGTCAACTGGTGGGCACGTTTGTTTCAGTTGGCTTCACGCTTCTTTTGTGCCAGTTTTAGGAGATGTGAGACTCATTTAAGCACGTTGCACATATTTCTTATTCGATTTGTGAGGCAAAAAGTTTTTTCCGGTGTGTGTTTTCGGTGCAAACGAATGCATAACCTCTTGTCAAGTGTTTTTTATACTTCAGTTTGGTCTACTTTGGTTTAACTGACACCATATCACTGTCTATTTCCCACTTTGTGTCTCCTTCCTCTTTGTGTCTTGCCAGACTGTCTGAATTTATTAATGGATCCAACCGGAACTGAGGACTAAAGTTTCTCTTTACCAACAAACAAATTTGTCTTTGTGTGTGAGTCACTTCGGCTCTCCTCCCTCTCCCGGATTGTGGAGGAGAAAACAAAATGCCGCAATGAAACAAAGGAGACATGCAGCTCCATGACTCCCAAGTGCAGCCCTGGGGCATTTGCGATGATACGGGAAAGCAAATACTATTTTCTCGTGGAGCAATGATTTCCGTTCTAATTTTGGATGAGCGTGATACACTGTCAGGAGCAAATAAAGATCTTTTTTAAACAACGAGCTCGCTATTTTTGGCACACCGGTTATGGCGTAACCTCAAATGGGATTTAGATTCATGAAGCGTGACATTTTCGCAGGAAATTCGTGTCAGGAAAAGCGGTTTCCACTCCTGTCAGAATAATGCACAGTAGGCAATCTGAGATTGTTGAAATTTTGACCTTCCCCCATTACTCAAAAGTTCACTGTCTTCTGCACCTCGCAGAGGGCTATTTAGAGTGTGGTTGTAAAGAGAGATTGATAAGGTTGTTTCTGTGTGGGACCATGTGTTCGGGCAGCCGTGGTCGTGTTGTTTTTTTCACGTGGCAGGGAGAAGCTTTTCCATTTGTCTCATAGAGGCCCTGCGATATTGTCTCTATCAGAGAAGGTGACCTAAGCCTCTCTAAGAACATAAAAGGTTTAGCCAAAGGAGCTCATATGTCAAGACTATTCTTCTGCTGATCTCTTTCCCCTTCCAGGACACAGCCCTTTCCTGGGGAGGTGGGGGTCACAGTGCAATTTGTTTTGTTATTATGGTGTGAATTACTCTTCTCACTGTAGTGAGAATGTAAACTTTCTTGACGTTTGATAATGTCCCATGTGTTCGATTCATGCTACTGTTTACCTGCATTATCTTTTTTGGAGTTTGCTTAATATAAGTCTTTATCGCTTTTCATAATTTCATCATTTATTGCACTCATGCAAATGTGGATCATATTGGTTGGCATATAGGAAAAGCCACCCTGTTTTCTCAGTTTTTCTCAGTTTTTCTGTTTTCTAAATGCATGTTGTTAATCTTATTTTGAATGATGCATCCATGTATGTTTCATTTTTAAACAAAATTTTGATCAAAATGTTTAGCTTCTGGAAAAACGTCAAACTTGGTGGTGACACATCCTGGACTTTTCCAACGATTTGGTTTGCCTCAACCCCGTCCCTCCTCGAGCGATTGCAAGCTTGCATTAATTTTTAAATGCAGTGCCCACATCTCAAAATCCTGATAAGAACTGATTATTAGAACCAAGTTCCTGTCCTATATTTTTATTTTTCGATCCGTTTCATCACAACTTTAAATCCAATATATCTGTAGTTTTTCCTTGTAGTTGTTCCTTTGATTATTTATATTATTAATTAATCAAACATGGCCTGTGTGTATATGAAAAAATGCATGAGAACAATTTGACAGAATGTAGCTAAATCGAATGATAGTTTACAACAACAACAACAACAAAAAACAGCTTAAATAGCTATTTGGCTATTGGCTGATAATAACCAATAGGCTGTGTGGCCTAAGTGACATCAGATGAAAAGGACAGTTGTTTCATGTTAAACAGGGAGAGCAGGTTATTTTGTGTTGATTAAACTTTATGAAACTTTACAGTTATTTAAAAGAAAGTAAAAAGAGTCAGTTTGGATGTCATGTTGACCTTAAACAAGGAAAAATAACCAGCAGCATCATTAACATGAAGTGGCAACACAGTCTGTCTTAATTCTAGGAGTGCTACAGTGTCCGAGGTTTAACTCAGCAGATCCTTTTCCAAGCAGTTGTAAATTTAAGAGCATCCTCAGAGATTATATTTCTACTGTCCCTTGCTCATTACAAATGACAATGGATATATTTGACTCAGAATCAGTTTTTTATAGGTGTCTGACCACCTTAATTAAGCTTGACCCTAGAGGTGTGCTTTGTTGAAAAGACGATTTGATTATGCTCTGATATTAATTTCTAAAATGTAATAAACATTATTAAAGAACCCTTTAAAAGTTATGTTTTGATCATATTAGTCTAAGTGTACTTTTCTGTCTTTTCCTTTCCAGTCTGTGGTCCTCACATTGATATCCGCAATGACATCAGTGAGTTCAAGAAGCTGGAGAACTGCACGGTGGTGGAAGGCTACCTTCAGATCCTCCTCATTGGAGACAAGAACAACAACCTCAACCAGGAGCACTTTCGCACCCTGTCCTTCCCCAAGTTGACCATGGTCACCGACTACCTTCTCCTGTTTCGAGTCTCCGGCCTGGATAGCCTCAGCGTGCTCTTCCCCAACCTCAGTGTCATCCGAGGACGCAACCTGTTCTACAACTACGCCCTGGTCATCTTTGAAATGACCAGCCTGAAAGATATCGGCCTCTACAACCTGAGGAACATCACCAGAGGCGCGATCAGAATCGAAAAGAACCCGGAGCTGTGCTACTTGGACGCAGTGGACTGGTCACTCATTATGGATGCAGAGTTTAACAACTACATCGCTGGGAACAAGCAGTCCAAAGAATGCGGTGATGTTTGTCCAGGTATCATGGAGGATAGCCCGCAGTGCATTAGGACCAGCTTCAATGACAACTACAGCTACCGCTGCTGGACCTCAAATGACTGCCAGAAAGGTAAGAACCTGCCAACCATACTTGATCTCGCTAATGTTTGATTTATTTCAGCTTTTATTTCTGATGGATTCACATCTGCTGGCATTTAGCATACAGTTCGTTCCTTCACATGGGATTTGAATGAATAGTGATGTGAATGGTGAAACTGAATGAGGCTTAGATTGCATAAGATAAAGCTAAGTTCAGCTAAACCGATGGAGGGATACTGTTTGCTTTGCTTGGGAACTGGAGGTCTTTCTCTTTGGCAGAGTCTTGTCAGGTAAATATTTGGTTAGTGTAATCTATGTTGTGTTGAGAGAGTTATGACTAGACTGTCCACCAATTCATCAAAGGCATTGACAGTAGCTGAAGATGGAGGGTCCTGAAGACAAAACAAAGATTTCTGTGACCTAAGGTGACGTTCTGGAAGGAGCTCTACGATAAATCCATCCATAAAATGTTCTTTTTGAACCCTAAATTATATGTAACTGCACTCTTGAATCTCACCATTTTCTGTTTGACTGCTGTTGAATTTGGCTGATTTATGCATTTTTGTACTTTTGGATTTATACTAGTGATGGATTGATATAATTTGGCCATAGGTTTGAGGCTCTTCTATGGCTTATTGTGCTGCAGTGGTATATATTAGCCAGGGTGACTATTTGGCAATTTTGAGCAATTTTGATCAGTAGGTAGTAAATCACTTCTGTTTTCAATGTTTTTTTGGTGACGTTTTAGTAAATTTGGGGTAAAATAAGTTTTCTTTTTGTCCCACCAAGTTTGTTTATTTATATTGACCGTTGCAAAATCCATATTGGTCGGTATATATATATGTGTGTGTGTGTGTGTCTATATATATGTATGTATGTATGTATGAATGATGTGGTTCCTACACACCTTATTTTTGAGTGATTTTTTTTCTGTTTTTTTTTTTTCCTTTTTAATATTTTTGAGTTTATACATTTTGCAGACATTCTTTGTTAATTTGAGGATGTCAGTTGGTTAGATATTACAATAGTGCTTTGATGCCCTAAATGACCCTTTCTTGTGGATAGGGTCAATCGAATGTGAGAAAACCACCTGGCTGGGGCCAAAATATCTTCTATGATTTCTTATCTCTGTAGTCATGAGGTCAGAAGATATGAATGCCAGTGTGTCCTCTACATCTGGCTGGGAATGCCTGGGAAAGTGAACTACCCCGTAATGAATGTTTGCTCCCTCTTCCTCTCCCAAGCACACAAGAATGGTGGGAAAAACATAATGGATGAGAACACTACAGCGGTCTCCCACAGTCCCACCCCTGGCCTTCAAGAGACCTGCAGACCGTGCAAGTCCCAGGCTCAGAGAAGCCGTCGCAGAGCTGCCCTCCCTCCCCTTTCCCTCCGCCTGAAAACAAACAGAGGAAATCAACCCTCCTCAGAAACGTGCTCTGTTATAGCCGGACTGTTTGTTTGTTGCTGGTGGAATTCTTTGAATCTGACAATCAGGAGAAGGACACAGAGGTGACGTGCTGCTACCCTACTGGGATATTTGTTCCACAGCAGTGGGCGACTCATCGTGAGTGTCCTTTTTTTCCAGTGACTCTCCTTTGTGCTGCTGATACAGTCTCTTCCCGACAGTCCTGCCCACATCGTGTCAGCACTTGCTCCTCTGCACACCTGTTCAGTATGGTAATCTTGTGTCTGAATGCCGTGTTTTTGCCTATGCAGAGGTGGGGAGGTGTGAGTCACCTGTATCCAAGGCTCAAACAGCCGAACAAAGAGGATGACTGGTAGTCACAGCAGAAAGGATGTACTAATGGTCCAACTGATTGATCTGTGTTCTCCAAAGAACTTACTGGAACAAGCAGTGGGCTGCCACCTGTCCGATTGTGTACACTTCCCGTCAATGTTTCCACATGGAGCTTCAAAGGAATCAACAATTTGTCTACAAAACCCCAGCATTTTCTTACTGTCGCCAGCTTGCCTTGTTCTTGAGGCGCAAATGTTGAATGGTGAAAAAGATTGAACCTCATGAGCGGTAATGACAAGGATAGACGAGGGAACTTAGGGGCGTACTGTATAAACTTCCTCCACTGAGTTGTTTTGTCATGTTGAGGATGACGCAAAGCTGGTTTCAAACACACTTCAAGTCAACATGAACTCAAAATGAACCCTGTTTACTTTCTTTGTGTTTTGGGTTTTACAGTGAATGATTCATTTGAATGAACTTCATATTCATTAACTTTTTAACGGCGTAATCACTTGATCCATTCTAAAAAACTTCAACTTTAGGTGGATGCTGCACACTGGTGGTGGATGAGGAGATCCCCCCCTCACAATGTAAAGCGCTTTGAGTGCTTAGAAAAGCGCTATGTAAATGTAATGAATGAATAAATTAATTCATTTTGGCGGATGTCAACAAGCCCTCATTTATGCCAACTTATTTTTCAACCACCTTACATATAGAAACCACTTTTCACAATCAAATCCTGCCAAAGTCCTGGCTTACTTTTTTCCCCCCCAATGCAAATCCTTTTACACTGAAATGGTTCACATTACTGAATAAAATTGGGTTGTGAAGACTGATTCATGTTGACTTGGAGCTTGAAGGTTTTCAAAAAAGTTGAGGCCATTCTTGTAGAAACTAATTCTACAGTGGAGGAGAATAAGAATTAATTGTGTGTGATGAAGGCAAGTGATGCCTGACCTGTGAGCATATTTTTTTGCTTTGAACCAGTACTTTCTAATGATTTAGTCAGAACGATTCACAAATCACAGAGAATTTTGTGTGACTTGATGGTGGCGTAGCCTCTCCGTGTCACTCGTTGCAGCCCGTCTGGCTCTCTGTGGAGGACAGTCTTCTCCACCCTTCGGCATAATTGCCTTGTTTTTCTTGTGCACAGATGTTTCTTCAAGGTTTTGTAGTCAATTTGGATCAGTCCTCTCTCTCTAATTACTGCACCAAGGGTTGCTGTCAGCGACCAATCAGCGATCAGCTCTTGCGTATGTGCGCGAGACTCTGCGTGTTTGTTATGAGATGAGGGTGTCCACAGCAGCACTATTGTTTGCTTTTTTCTGAAATGTAAGACCATTAAAGCATTCCTTGCCTGTTCTTGCATGCGCTTGTTACCGTCACCTCTGTGTATGCGTGTATCTGGAGTCTATGGACTTTCCATTTGTAATGCAATTTCCATTTGCAGTGTTTGTCTTCACGCTGACTGGATATGTATGTTTGCTAACCTGCTTATGACTTGGATAATCTAGCTCTGGTGATAAGGAAATGGATTTTGATTTCATTCAGGAATAAACTTATTCAAAGTGGATGTGAAAAGTAGTTGAGTTTTTTTCTAATGTCGTGAACAATTCAATCTGGCCTTTGAATACACAAAGCAATTCAGTTGGCTGAAAGTAATTGGAAATCCTACAAAATTAATTTAAGCTATATGGCATATAAACTGTTATTATGACCATTATTGTTTATTATTGTATGTAACCAAAGCTGTTGAATCCGTGTATCATTCATTCAGTTTTTTTTTAAAATTTAATATTGAAAGTAGAAAAATGGCTCCTTTTTAATTTTTTCATTTATTTTTCCCAAAAAACGATAAACAAGAATTCAGCTTCATTTTTCGTTCAGGGGTAGAAAAATGAATAACATCTTCAATATTCGATTTAAACACCCCTTTCTGCTGATTGGTCAGCTGAAGATCAAACAAGTATCTTTTTACATTAACTGAATATAAAAAAGTTTATCTTTTGGTATGTAAATGATTTATTCTGATTGCCTATCCATTATCTCGTTTTTAAATGTTTATTGACTTTAATGTTTTATTTTTTTAATTTAAATAATTTTTAGAAACTCATTTTACTATGATGCTGACACCAAAATGACAATGTTGTTGTAAAGTCTAAACAGAGCCCCTGGTGGTGACTGTAGGTATGATTAGTGCTATGTTTGTAGTGTGAGTCTGTGTGTGTCTGTGACTGTGTGTCTGTTCTTTGTCTTCGGAAAAGTTTTGCAATGCCAGGTCGGTTGATGGCGGGAATAGGAGGGGGGAACTGTAGGGAAGAGGCATCCAATGGACGTTCCTAGGTCCATGTGAGGCAAAGTGTTGAGGAGAAATGTCACAGAAATGTCAAGTGTACAAGCACAAAAACAAGACTCCTCAGTGAGGGGGAGTGAACCGTCAGCCCTCCTTAATCTCCTCCCTCCTGCCCGCCAACCTCTCCTCCCTTCCCACTTATTTTGTCTGTTGTTTTTTATTTCTTTACGGCCTCTCTCAACTAGGGATATGCCGGTATCAAATTTTCATGTTGCGATTAATTGATAATGCTTTTATCACGGTATTAAAATTTAGCTGCAAAAAAGTGTTGTCATAATACAGTATAACAGGTTTAATAAATTTTTTCTTATTACAAAAATAACTGAACATTTAAATACAATAAAGCAATACACAAAAAATGTATAAAGTTAAAATTTTACACAGATTAAAGTGCAAAAGAATTATAAAGACCAGTAGGTATCACTTTACAATAAGATATCTTTAGTTAATCTTAGTTAATGCATTAACATTCATAATGAGCAATAGCTACATATTGTTAAATAACACCAGTTGCAACTTTTATTTTTAAAAATGTGTTATTAAATATTGGAATTACCTAAGATTAACAAATGTTTAGAAGAATCTTTCTTTGGCAGTTTATGTTAACTAATGTTAATTAATGAAGACCTAATGTAAAGTTTGACCGAACAATAAAGAATCAAAACACTTTCAAACAATATCTAGGGCATGTTGTAGTCCAGATTAAAATGTAAAAAAGTTTGAAAATAAATAGCCTATTAAGTCTAAATATTAAGGTACTGTATTTGGCACTGTGATGAACACCATAGCAAATACACAAATCTGAATGGCTGTTTAAATCATTTAAACACCTTTCAGAAACAGAAAGCTGTTTTGTTTACGTGGTTTCCAGGGTAACCGCTGCATTATGTTTAGCGCCATCTACTATCAGAGAGTGAATGTGTTTTCATTCAGAGCG